GTTAACCCAAGCCAATTCAAGCAAGAACAAAGGAAATTAGGGGCTGTTCTTACCGAAAAAATGCCCAGAATTCACCCAAAATCAAGGGCAGCTGGCGGTGAGGAAGACAGAGCAGAGCAGATCTGGATTTCCAGCAAGGGGAAAGAATTTCTGGGTTTCAAATCAGGTTCTTGGACAAGAAAAGAAGGGAAAAATCAAGCTTTCTCACCGGTTTTCCAAGGCATGGCTGGGTTCCCCCTTTTTTTTTCTCTTCGGGTGGCTGCAGCGGGAAGACAAGAAAAAGAGCAGAACACACGGGCTGGAAGAAAAAAAGAAAGAAAGAAAGAGAAAAAGAAAAGAAGTTGATCCTTATCCAAAACTCTTCCACTTTAAGTCCCTTAACTTTTGAAATATTCACATTAGGCCCCAAAATAATATTTTTCTCACACAAAAACCCTTACTTAAAAGTTAAAATAGCACAAAATTTTGGGGTATTACATCCACCCCTCCTAAAAAGGAGTTTTGTCCCCAAAACTCAAATTGAGGATCATCTAGACTGGTGAATGGCTTCACACAATCCAAGACAAACAAATGCCTCACTAACTTTCTATGAACAGACATGGCTTACTATGCTTCCTCTGCGCCACTCTGATAACAAATCACGACTAATCTTAAAAGCAGAACATTAATCACTTAATAGGATTTACCATGAAACAAGCTACTGGAGGTTGGGGTGATATGAGAAGCACAAGGAATAAAAATAAATCCTGCCAAAGCCACAAAAGAACAATTGTGGGGTTACGCTTCGAACCCATCACAAGACGAGTTGACAAAGAATGGCATGGATTTAAAGACAAGTACAACAAAACTTTGAACTCTTTCAAAGACAGATAAGCATCCAATAAATATATGAATCATGAATGAATGAACAAGTGCATGGATGCCTTGTAAATTCTGCCACAAAACAAGGTGAACCAACAAGATCATGTTTAACAAAACAATTGGAATCAAGAAACAGATTTTAGCAATTAACAAGAGTTAAAAGCTAAACCCATCAAATGACATGAAATTTCCAGAATAGCTTCAGAATGAAATCAATGGAAAATATGAATGCTTGGGAGAATACTGGAACATAAAAGTGCAAGGTAGAATGCCTCAAAAAATTCAACGACAAAACAGCATTCACCAAGAATCAAGATCACTCTAACCAAGCAGTCAAAATTGAGAAACAAGAGTTAACCATGAAACAAATAATAAAATTCAAGGATTAAGCCCACAAAAGAGATTTCAATAATGATAATCAGAACACGGATTCAAGAATAGATATAACCAGGATGTCGAGATCTAGCACCTCAAGTACTAGAATTAATTAACAGAACAAAGCAATGGCTGAGATCAAGATGCTTAGAAGATTACTGTCTTCTAATTAAAAAGGCAAACAAAAATCAAGGCAGCCAGACAAAGAACCATTTCTCTTGGAACAAAACTCTAGGGCATCAAGTATTTCAAGGACTACCCCTTTACCTTGTAGCTCATGGAGGCTAAGCAGGTTTATAATCAAGTTGTCCTAGAGTCAAGTCAAAGCTAAGGCATCAAGAATACAGAATTTAACACTTGCAAGAGACAAGAATTTAGAATACCTCATATAGGTATCTTCTGAATCGTCACCCCTCCTAAAGAGGTGTCCATATGAACAAAATAAAAAATCAAGAAGATCATCAGGTATACAGAAACAAGAACGAGCAAAATATGCAAGATTTGAGCAAGAGCAATATACAGAATTTGAGCAAGAACAAGGGTCAGAACAAGAATGGTTTTCAAGGTCAACTCAAAATAGATTTTAAGAACAGTGCAAGAATCAATTTCAGACAAGTATCAAGATAATGAGGACTTCGATAATCATTATCCATTTCTGGATTTCAGTTTCAAGAACAAGCACAAGCAATATCAAGAAAGATTCAAGACGGATTTCAAGAGTTTCAAGCAATTTCCAGGTATCAAGAATGTAAAGATTAGCAACAATGAAGAGTCTAACTTTATGACAACTTGCCAATCTTTACAAAAAGATGACAATTTCAATTGAATGATCACTGTTCTTGATTAACCAATATAGAAAAAAATGAGCCACATGAAAAGACCATGAAGCTCTAAATGGAAAAAGTGAAACTTCACTATAAGACTTTCAGAAGATAAGGAGCAACGGAATTACCAAGTTATCCAGCTCCTAAAACGTAGCTAGAAAACACACAACATTTGCTAAAATAGCCTTGAATCTCTTGCAAAGTAGAGGGTTGCCCATCTTCCACTGGTCATGTGACAAACAGAACAAATTCTCAACCAGCTATGTGGTAGAGACCAACAGGATCAATAACAAAAGATTTTTGCAACTCCCCAGATTTCACAATAGTGGCAAAAGAGCACACAAAAATTCCATTCACGAAACAAGTCTAAACAAGTGTAGACTATCAGAAAATGACCAAGTTTCAAAACAAGGTCTTAAGAACATGGCGGACAAGATTAATCTCATGGATCTACACAGGGTATATAAAGGCAGGAAACAAGAACAATCAGATATCCATCTTATCAGAATGGATTAGAATATTCAGGCAACACGAATCAGAATCGTTCCTTATATACCCCATCACTCGTCTCACCACGGTTCTAAAATCCACTGGCTAGCCAAGTCCAAAACAAATCCTAGGTATTCAATTAAACCTAGGCTCGGATATCACTCAATCTGCTCTAATGCCACTCAATCTGGAGGTGCTTAATTTAATCCAAAACTCTTAATTTAAACCAAGCTCTGTATTTCAACCTAAGCTCTGATACCACTTTATTTGTCACGCCCCAAAACCCAATTTCGAGACGCGACAGACGCCGTGCACTCGTGAGACGGGTTCCACAAATGCACAAGGCTCGGAACTTATCACACCACACTCTGATACCACTAAAATCTGAAGATCAAATTATAAATTTCTCTCTGATATCATAAAATTTCCAAATACAAGATCATGATTTATTTCTAAAATTTATATCCAATTCCGAAATGGCTAGCTTTCTAACTCGTCACTTCTCGTGGTTCTCCCGTCCTCGATTTCACATCCTGAAATGGTGGACAAGGAAAAACTATGAGATAAACTCAATAAGTAAATATGGAGTGCCCCTTATCAAACTTAAAGCATGCCAACAAGTACAATCACGAAAACAGATACAGTACGGGCACGAAATAGACGTCTCCTCTATAGGTCACGGCCAGTGTATAATCCCCACTAGCAGGGCCACGATTTGCTAGTGTATAACCCCCACTAGCTGGGTTGAACGAATCGACTCTTTCACTAACATGTCGACATGTGCTAGCGTTTATAACCTCCCCCACTAGCAGGGTCACGAATAACATGACCACATCGGAGACAAAACAGGTAGAAGTTAACAGGAAAATCACAATTCACAATCACTTTCAGATCATTAGGACAATCACTTAAATTTCAAGTAGGCATGCTCAATTTAGTGAAAAGTATAAAACATTTCACTTCAAATCAGTCACACTTGTGTAAAACGGGTTTAATCCCGCCACCACTTCAAAAAACAAATCGAAACATGCTTTTAAAATCGAAGGGCATTACCATAATCTACTTACCTTACTTGCATAAAACCGAGCACTCAATTCACGTGCTAAACTGACAAAATGATCAGGAACCTAATCAAAATATACCACAATTAATATCGTACTATCACAAATTCAAGCTGAAATCATCATTAGGATCATTCCTAATCACAATGCTATTTCTATCACTTTCCACATGATCGGACATCTCCAAATTCGTTCTCATATCACAAACTAATCATTTAAATTCCCGTTAATTGTTGGCCCTCGGGGTGTGAACAGTAACCAGTGAACAGTGCAGGTGAACAGTGACCCCGACGTGAACAGTGACCCCGACGTGAACAGTAACTCCACTTCCAAAATTGGCCAAAACACTAGCTAATCTCACGGGATTTCACTCCAAAAATCACAGCAGTCAATTAACACTCAATCACATAAATCCCACTTAAATTAATGCTTAAATCTCATCTTAAAGCTACCGAAATTATCTCCATTTCCTAGCCAAATTCGGACATCACAAGCAGCAACTTTAAATGGATAATTTATGCCTTAAAAGGCTGTCACATACCAGAATTTACAAGCAAGGAACCGGAGCTAGCAGATTGGGGAAGGCCGGCGGGATCTGCGGGGGGAAGCTCACGGAACTACCCAAAATTGAAGGAAATAAGAGCAATCAAAGTTAACCCAAGCCAATTCAAGCAAGAACAAAGGAAATTAGGGGCTGTTCTTACCGAAAAAATGCCCAGAATTCACCCAAAATCAAGGGCAGCTGGAGGTGAGGAAGACAGAGCAGAGCAGATCTGGATTTCCAGCAAGGGGAAAGAATTTCTGGGTTTCAAATCAGGTTCTTGGACAAAAAAAGAAGGGAAAAATCAAGCTTTCTCACCGGTTTTCCAAGGCATGGCTGGGTTCCCCTTCTTTTTTTCTCTTCGGGTGGTTGCAGCGGGAAGACAAGAAGAAGAGCAGAACACACAGGCTGGAAGAAAAAAAGAAAGAAAGAAAAAGAAAAAGAAAAGAAGTTGATCCTTATCCAAAACTCTTCCACTTTAAGTCCCTCAACTTTTGAAATATTCACATTAGGCCCCAAAATAATATTTTTTTACACAAAAACCCTTACTTAAATGCTAAAATAGCACAAAATTTTGGGGTATTACACTCACTGTAAATTTTTACTTTTTAATTCTTATTATTTTTTTTAAATTTTTATTATTATTTTTTTAATTTTTTAGTCCTAATTGAATTTTAACTGAATTTTAATTGCAATCATAATCCAAATTGTAGCCTTCAAAGTATAGCAACAAGGACAGATCCACCCCCAAACAAAAAACGGGGACAAATCCATCCACACAGTTTTTTATTTGGACCAATAACTCACTATTTGACAGGCCACATCAACTGATGTCATCTTCTTGTTAATGGGGTGCTTACTCAAACATTTTAAACTCCGTGAAGGTTTTTTTGCCTACATGGATGCTGACTTGACCCCTTCTCGCCCATTTTAGTCTTACATGGTGATTTCCTCCCTTTTTTCCATTGCACATCAACTGGGCCCCACTTAAAAATTCCAAAAAATTTCATGTTTGACTAAACCCTAACTTATTTTATCTATTTGATTAAAGATTAAAAATGGAAAGCCTGTAAACCTAAACCAATCTCGTGATTCTCCCATCTCAAGTCTTTTTATGATAGTACTTGGAGAACATCTTGATCAATAGTTGGAGGGAATGCGACATTACTTGTCGAATCTCAAGATTGAAATTGAAACATGAAATTGAGTTAGCAAGATAAAGTGCTTCATTGATTAGGACAAGGAAACAATAAGTATTGCCTTTGGTGTCTTTTTTCTCTATAGAAAGTTGTGGGTGGGTTAGGTGTTTTATAAAATGCTTACATTTTGTAGGTTTGATTGTGGGTTTAGGATGGCTAGTATTATATTATTGATGTTAATTCGTAGGCCACTCAAAAAGATAGTTTTTTTTTTTTTTTGTCATTTTTTATTGAATACCATGGCAAATGAATTCTGGGGACTATTGTATTTTTTACACGGTGGGACATTTGTTTCAAGACCACCAATTGAGTATAAAGTTAGTCAAGGTACATCATTACCCTTTGACTGTGATAGTTTGAATGTTGGTGATCATGGATACAATTGTTAGTTTTGGCTATGAAGATGTTATGATTAAGAATGTGTATTACACAACAATTGGAGGGAGTGTAAGCACATTGAAGTGTTTGGCTACTGATGACAGTATTAGGGACATTATTCGCATGGTGCATGTTGATGGTTGTGTTGATATATATACTGATCATGATGTCAATTTTGCCCAACTTGCTTTTCCAGAATTATGTTAGGTTGATAACAATGTAGTTGAGGAGGAAGGTGAACACGAAGAAAAGGTAGGTGAGAGTATTGATAGTGAGGCTAAGGCAGGAGCAAAGGAAGGTGACTTGGGTAACATAACCCAAGAGTACCTTGTTGGTAGTAAGGGTAATATTAGGAATGCATTTGAGAAAGGTGAATGTAGCAAAGGTCATAGAGGTAATTGTGGAGAATTAGAGTTCGAGTCAACAGATGGTTGTGTTGATGACTGGAGCTCAACAGATGATGATGAAGAACCTCTTTGCAATAGCGATAAAGATAATGAGGAGTTAATTGATGTGAAGAAACGTGTAAGGTTTATTAGGAGACCAATAGAAAGATTAAAAGTTCCTAGTGGGCTTCAAACACCACAAGTGGTCAAGTACAAGCATGTTGTAAAAATGCCAACCCCTAAATCTACTATAAAAAAGCCAGCCACTAGATCTACTCCAGTCTCTAAGGGTAAGAAAGTTGCATCATCAGATCTTACTAAGTTGAGAAGTTGAGGAAAAAGAAGGTAAAGCTTGTAGACAAGAGGTAAAAAACACTACATCATACAAAGGAATGTTAGAAGGGAAAGGATTGAACACCAACTAAACAGAAGAAAGGACATCATGTACATCCTTCTAAAAGCAATCCTGTTGAAAATAATGTGCTAGATAGTGACAATGATGGTAGAGACAATCAATATGAAAACAGTGATGATGTTGGGTAGTTGAGGGATTCATCTATTGAGTCTAAAAAACAAAATTTGTTTTTTGTTTCATCTAATGTAGCAAGACAAAGGAGAGCTTTTAATGTGTACTTCAATCCTTCTTAGGAGGTACCATTCTTTGAAGTTGGTATGAGATTCACAGTGCAATATAGTTCAAGGAAGCGATGAGAAAGTATTCTGTGAGGAAACGTTGCCCTTTAGTTCATATAAGGAATGAGCCTAAAAGACAAAGGTTCGTTTGCAAATCTAGTTGGTGCTGTTGGGAGATTTATGGTTATTTGTCAATAAAGATAACAATTTCCAAGTAAAAACATATTACTCTGAACATACATGTGTTAGAAATTTAGAAATCAAGACTTTATGCTACACTTTTCTGGAAATGCAAAGATATGATGATATTTACATACAATGAGTTTAGGGTTAATATAAATTACAAGAAAAGTGTTAGAGCCAAGAAAATGGTATTGAAGGAGATGGGGGGGGAGTTTTAAGGATGAGTATGCCATGATTCATGCATCTAGTGGGTATTTGAAGGAGGCCAATTTGGGAAACTCAATTTTCATTAAATCGAAGAAAATGATGTTGGTGAGACAATGTTCATGAGAAGGTTAAATGCTAAATTTGGTCCCTCAACTTTAGTGAGTTGCACATTTTTGATCCCTTAACAATTTTTTGCACTTTTTTGATCCCTTAACTATACGAAATGCACTCCGTTAGTCCTTCTATTAATTCGGGCCGTTAACTCGCTTACGTGGCATTTTTTATAATTTTTTTATGATGTGGCAAAAATAATTTTCAAAAACGTTGATGTGGAATTTTTTTTTAAGCCAACTCACTGCCAACTCACCAATCAATTTTGCCTTAATAAAAAAATAAAAAATTACAAATTTACCCCTCTCCCCTTTTTGATCCATCTTCTTCCCCTCTTTCGATCATCTTCTTCCTTTCTTCTTTTTCTTTTTCTTTCTTCCTCTTCGGAACCCAACAGATCTGGGTTCACCGAACCCAGCAAATTTGGGTTCGGTGGAACCCAGTTTGCTTGGTTCCTCCGGAACCCAGCCAACTGGGTTCCACGGGAACCCAGCAAACTGGGTTCGAGGAACCCAGATATGCTGGGTTCCCTGAACCCAACTCCACTTTTTTGCATTTTTTTTTTTTTTGTTATATTTTGGTTTGCTCAAAGACATATGTTTGTTATATGTTCAAAATGGAAATGGAAAGAACAGAAGCAGTTGAGCAAAGAAGCTTAGTGTGTTTTCATTTGTTTGGCTGGAAAATGGTATAGTTTGGGTGTTTGGATGCC